TTCCATACTCTCGGCTTGATACTGCTTTGGTGAAGCAGTTTTGTTTCAATTTCTACTATAAAGAGATTGGCGAAAGCAACCGCCATTCGTGTTCCCATGGCAGTTCCAAAACATTGGAGACAGTTTACTCCGTTGAACTGGAACGAATTTTCTTTCAGTATAAGCCCGAGCATTTGTTTTAATTAGTGGGACGGAATGGGAGGGCTGTTATTGTGGTATTTTTCGTATGCTTGGCATACTATTGTGATACCCTCTTCTTGTGGGATGTTTGTGTACAAGCTTGTTACAACCATTGATACTAAAATGGTATCATTTGACACTTGCGTTTTCTCTATAAAGTTGATGAAATCAGTCGTATCTTTGAGATACGATTTTTTCTTTTGAGCAATAGGCTGTAATAAATGATCCGCAAAGGATGATATCCTTTCAGTTGGTCCTTCGCAGCCCGATATAATCGGTCTACCCACTGGCAAAGGTTTGTGGATTTTTGTTAAAGTGTAGAAAATCGGTATTCTGGGCGGATTGGGAGTCTGTGAAAGCCACTTTTTTGTCATATCGTCTATATGTTTGCCATTGTGCAGTTGAGCAATAAGCTCATTAACTTTTTTTAATGTGTCATTGACCATGGGGTTTTCAAGAGGTCGGTAGTGGTCTCTGTTGTCGAGCTGAACCTGGCCCTCTTGAATTTTTTCCTTCTTGTTGAGAATCACTGTTGTGGTGCCTTTGTCAGCACGTTTAAGGTTGATGGCAGTATTGTTTTGCAGTTCTTTGACTGCTTTGTGTTCGTTGTATGACAGGTTGTGTTTTGGCTTTGTTATTTTTATTTCAGCAAGGCTTAACTTGATATTTTCGAAGTAGCGTTCAAGGGCAATAGAAGGTTGTACTGGTGGTATCCAGTTTGATTTGACGTGGAAAGGATGTGGTTCCTTGTCATTCCCGTGGAATATATATCTAAGTCTCATTCGCCTAGCGAATTGTTCGAAGTCACGCAACAATTGTTGCCTGATCTTATTTTCATTTGTCACGGGTGTTTCAATAAATTTAAGCCCTTTTGCTAACACGCTGACTTGGTGATCAGTTAATATATTGTCTGAAAGGTTTTTAAGGTATTTTTCATTTTTCTCCCTTTCTGTAGTCACTCGCTTGTGTAGTGAATTTTTTCTACGCTTTTTGCGTTTATTATTCTTGGATAGCCTTTTTGCTGCAGTGGGTTTGGCGACTGATTTTTCAGAGATGACACTGTTGTACTTTTCAACAGGTTTATTATCACTCTGAAAGCGTGTACATATCAAGTAAGATCTTTCAGCTCTGAAAGCTGATTTTCTATTTTGTCTATCCTGTCGGTATCAGTATTTACAGTGTTCCTCAAGGGCGAACGTGATCTTTCACGTGTATTTACATTGTATTGTGATCGAGACTTGGCAATATTAGCCTTTTCAAGTTTGTTCTTGTGACTAACAAGTCTACGCTGATGGAAGCGCACTAGGGCGCTAACGTATTGTTCTTCGGCGTGACTTCTAATAGCGCTTATTTCCTGTCGAAAGGTTTCGTCAGGAGTGACGTTTGCCTTTGCCTTGTATTGTAGCGACTTAGGGCAAGTCTTTTGTTGTAAGTGTCTCTCCAGTTTTAAAATGGAGGTTTCAGTTTTTTGCTTCTTGAACTTGACAAATCAGTGGCCCCAACCTTGGTGTCCAACAATGTTTTCCTAAGTCTTTAAAGAGGCAAGCGCCCGCTTAAATTAAACAAGTTTACTCACCATTCGATTTACCAACCCTCTTAATATGAACGTGAAGAAGTAAACTGAAACAGAAAAAACGACCTTTACAAAAAGAAAGTAACAAATAAGGCGAAAAAAATAAAATACAAAGATATGTCGGGACAAAAACTTACCAAATTCTGAGGTAATATACGAATCATGAAACACTCGAAGGAAAAAGGTTCATATCGTAGCAAAAATAAAGTACACGGGAAGTGCGTGACACATGAAATGTGCAGGGTGGCGTAATTTACATAAAATGCCAAAAAAACGGTGCATAAATGATACGTGAAAAAAACGAAAAGGGTAGGCGTAAATTAGTGGTTGCAAATAATTTAGGACTTATATGTTAGAAATCAAGAAATTACAAATTTATCAAAACAATCTTTTCCTTTTCAATTCGCAGTTTGTAGCAAGCCCAAAATGTCAGTGGATTCTTAACGAGATTATATACTATGAATGGCCTGGTTGGCGGGATAAAAGCAGACTGACCAAACTGGCTTGGTTCTTCTGCCAACTACTGCTTGTAGCAGTATCGAGCGTCTTCTACATACCGACACGGTTGGTTCGTAAATTTTCTCATTGCTGTAACAATGAGAAGATTTGGGAATTCAGAGAGCTTTATGAGCATCCCTATTCCAAGTTTATTAACCACACGATGTGGTATCTGGTGTTTCTCTCAATGATATTCTTGACCTCCTTTGACCACAAGTTTGAAACTTCAACGACTGGGCTGATATGGCGTGGTAAGTGTCATAAATTTAATTTTCACTCACATCGACTTGGCTTTTTTTGTTCGTTTGATAGCCCGCAGTCATCATTTATTTCCAGTGTACTACACTTAAAATTTTAAGCAGTTTGGGTTTCAACCTTACGATTTGAATGAAGATTAAATAGTTGATGTAAAGAAAGAAAAACTTAGCAAAAAACAAGTATACAGATCAACCTATTATTACATATCTATTACTTGTCTAGAATATCACCCTTTTTACAGTTTCAAAATCATGTTTTCCTTCTCTCTATGGTTAGCCTCCAAAACGCCCAGTATATCAATCAAAGCTTGACGCGCGTGTGCTGTTGTGCTAAACAACTGTACATTTTCTTCACAGACTATGTGGTGCTTTCGTTTGTTCTTGGCTTACTTCTACAGGAATTTCTCGAAGCTCGCAGACAAGGAATTTACATTTATATATCAAAGTGGTGGAATGTCGTAGACACGCTGATCATCTTGACTTTTCTGGCGTCCTTCGCTGTGTGGTTGCTCTCCTGTCTGTACTTTAGAAAATGGAAACCTGAGGAAGCAGCGTTTGTTCTAGCCGATGTGTTGTACGCAAGTGCATCCGTTATGGCATATTTTCACCTGACGCATATATTTCAGGTTGATTCGATACTTGGCCCTCTACAGCTGTCACTTTACAAAATGCTCAAAGATGTGCAAAGATTCTTCTTTATCTTCCTTGTGCTGTATTTCTCGTTTGCTAATGGCGTCATAAAAGTCTACTCTTACTATGTAACCTCGAAAACTGAACTGCAGAGAAATTGGAACCACACTGAGAATGAGGAATCCCATCCGTACGGGGAGTAAGAGAGCTTTAATAAGAAATATCTTTATCCAATAACGTCCAACATTAAGTATAATATATTTTTGAGATAAGAAAGCTACTCCGTAAGGTGTGCAAATATAGAGTTTCTTCATGTCGTATTTCCTAATTGAAGTTGTTGTTTATACATGTACATAATTAAG